GGTCTCTGACTCTCTCTATCCCGCGGTGGCCAGGAGCTTGGCCACACATCTTAGCCACTGGGCAGTGGGCAGATGAAACCCAAGCAGAAACCGAAAGTTGCACTTGTGCCCTCCAAGCTCCTCCCACCACCAGGGTAAGAGCTGACCTGAGTGCCCACCCTTCGCCCTACTTTCAGCCCAAGCCCCCAGCTGAACACACGCAGAGCTAATCTGTGGGTGGAGCTCGGGCAGCCCTACAACCCAAGTCCTGGGTTATTAGTGGGTTGGGGTCTTGTAGCTTGGAGACCCTGAATTTGGAGGTGACTGGCTGGGCGGAGGTGGCTGACCCTAGAGCCTCCAGCGTCTTGGGGTCCCCAACAAGCCTTGACCATTTGGGGGAACCACCCCACCCTCACCACCCTGGAATGCACAGTGTGACGAGCTGCAGATTCACAGAGGAGTCAGAGAAAGAAGGATAAAAACCACCTGTGTCCGGGGGGAAAGCTTGCAGCATTGGCAATGACCAGGCAGGGAAGGATGGAAACAGGAGCAGGAGTGGGAGCAGAGAGTGGAGGTAACCACAGGGTGGGCAGGCGATGCTCAGGAGAGGTGACTGGAGGGAGGCTGGAACTTGAAGAAGGAGCAGGGGGCCAAGCCAGGAGCAGTGGGAAGGTGCCCTGGGGGCAGATGGTGGGTGTATTAGCCTCCTGGGGTGCTGAGGTCAAGTCCACTGCAACTGCTGGGACATGATCTCCCTAAAAGCACTGGGAAGGATCCCCCCAGGGCACCTGGACACAGGCAGTTTTCCTACCCAATGTGACCTCACCTTAACCTGGGTACATCTGCCAAGACCCATTTTCTAAAAAGGTCCCACTGACAGACACGAAGTTTGGAGATGCGCTCTTTAGCCCAGCACAGTGTGGGTGACAGGTAAGAGGGTGGACAGAGCTGGGACTTCTCGGGGCAGTCTGGCGTCCTTCCTTCGCTCGGTCAGTGGGTTGCTCCACCCCTCCTTTTTTTTGGCCACCTGATGCTCTGTCACCGGGGTAGGGGGGCGATGAGGCAGGGTGGGGATATTTCAGTAATTCTGGGCTCAGGTGGTAGTTCTGCCACCCACTGGTTGGGTGACCCTGATGAACATCCCCCTCGTAAGTGGGGAGAAGTGACAGCCCCACCCCGGACGTGTCATGCAGATGTCACAGATAAGTACGGACTGTGTGGCTGACACCCAAAAAGTGTCAGGTTTGAAAAAATGTCTATTTATCCTGTGGCTTGGACACCTTAATTCTCTCTTTTTCCAACATGATCTATCCCCTGGAAAGAAAGTTCCAGAATATACGCACTGCAGGAAGAGCCCACCCGGAACTGGCATCTCCAGCTGCCAGACAGGGGTGGCAGCCTCCACCCAGAGGGGGCAGGACTGCTGACCAGAGCGCCTCCCTGAGGGATCTCCCAGGAGTGAGGCAGTGTGGGCACTGAGCTCTCCTCCCTCTTCACACTGCCCCCTCACAGTCAACACCAAGTTCACACGCAGGACAGAGCCAGGTCCACCAACTGCCCCTCCACCCTGCTCCCCGAGGGAAAGGGGCAGCTGCCCGCTGGCTGGGCACTGGGGTTCGTCCAGAGACGAGGATGGGACAGAGGTCTGACATTTGAGTCTGGGCGCATGGGTGGAGGCATCCACCCAACACACCAAGCCCCACAGTGGGGAAGCAGGTCTCATTCCCCAGGTCCCAGATGTGTCCCGTGACATAACAGTGACCTCTCTGGAATCTCTCTAGGGAGTCATAATGTTTGACCTGAAGCCACCACACATACCCCCTATATGCCCCCACCTCAAGTACAAGAAAAGCAGTGTCGGCAAATCCAGGTCCGGATGACCCTTTACTAGGGCCGTCGCACCTGCTGTCTCTCACTTACCTGGAGGCTAAGGCCAGGACCGCGTCCACTCAGGATTCACGCCTGCTGTCCTCCCAGCCTTGCTACCACAGCCAAGGTTCTGTGCCACAGAGGGACATCCCATGGAGCGCTAGGAAGGCACTGCATTCCAAACGCTTTGGGAAAATTTGCAATGATTTTGTCCCAATCCCAAGGTCATCTCCTTCTTCACTTCCTGAAGCTCTAGGAACTCTCTCCAGGCCTGTTTATCACCCAGTGCCACACCACAAACTACTGAAATTGTGCCCATGGTTAAGTGTCTGATAGAGCCCTCCTGCAATCTCAAATTCAGCCAGCAGGTGGCACCATCCAACAATAGAAAGTCACTTCAAAAATGCCCAGATGGTGGAGTTAAAAGATATTTATTTTTGGTGCAAAATTTTGAAATCCATTTATAGTTCCCTCAGAGTATGCATTTGGGAAGCTGGAGATTTCTTGTATGCATAAATTTTCATTTTGGAGTACCAAAGTAAACATTATTTAATTCCATTTTCCGTGAACATTTTAAAGTAGCCTTCTTTGAAATCCCGTGAAAACCCACAGCTGTTGAAGGCCAAAAAGTCATGACATTAACCAATCTACTGCTTCACAGATGCCAGAAGAGCCAAACTATAAGGCAAGAAGCACTGTATATCAGGGCTTTTTAAAGATTTTTTTTTTTTAATTGAAAAAGTCAGGTTTACAGAGGAGATATGAAGAAAAAGATCTTCCATCCACTGGTTCACTCCCCAAGTGGCCGCAACAGCCGAGCCAAACTGAAGCCAGGAGCCAGGACCCTCCTCCAGGTCTCCCACGCGGGCGCAGGGTCCCAAGGCTTCAGGCCGTCCTTGCCTGCTTTCCCAGGCCGCAGGCAGCGAGCTGGATGGGAAGTGGGGCTGCCGGGACATAAACCGGTGCCCAGATGGGATCCTGGCATGTGCGAGATGAGGACGCTGGGTGCCACGCCAGCGCTAGGGTGCCACGCTGAGCCCGGTGGATATCAGTTTTGCCTGGTAGGGCGAGTGTGTTTCATGCCAGAGCTGTGTGGTGGCCTGGGTTTTACATGCTCTGAGCCTCTTGCCACACTTCTATGATGAATCCCATGAGTTTTCTAGAAAGTTACTTGGAAATATTTCAAAACCCTTGATTTCACCCTCCCACGATGCCCTGCATCTGTTGTGCTCAATGCTTGTTGAAAGGTTGCCGCTCCCACCCCCTCCGCCCCCTGGGAAATATGGGGCAATTGGACAGATTAAGGGACAGAAAGGCAGCAGCAACGCTAAACAGCGTGCTCAGGGTCACGCTGCTGCTGAAGGGCAGGGCCGGAGTCTGCAAGAGGCTGGTCTAGTCCAAACCCTCCGGCCATTCCCTCTGCTCAGTGAGATGGTGTGCCCCGCGGATCCTGCTCGCAGGGCCTTGGCGTCTGAGGAATATCCGTGTCCACACCCCAAGCGTGGTGGGAGGGCGGTGCCCAGGGTTCCTTCTATGAGATCCTGTCCACGGGACAGAGGGGAGCAGTGAGCGAACTGCTGCGAGGGACGAAGGGGGGCAGAGTGGGGGTCGGGGCCAGCACGGAGAGCTTAGGGTCACGGCCGCCTTACTCACCATCGCGTTAAGGCCTGAGTCAGGCTTCAGATCCCCGCACAGCGCTTATTGCTGATGTCATGGAATTGCAAGATCCTGTATTGTTTTAACAAACAACAGTGTCAGCCCCATTTCCACCCTTTTCACACTCCTCGTGACTCAACACTGGGCCCCCTCAGCAGTTACTGCTGTAGGACCTGCGGCCAGGACACCTGCCCGGGGCCCCAGGGATGGATGGCAGGCCCATTCCTTGGCGTGCCTTGAAACTTGTGGGTCAGCGGGACCCCAATGCTCCACCTCATGTTCCAGACCCATGCTGACGGGATGGGGCGGTGGCGATGTGGATTCTGAGGACTTCTAAATGGGAACCTTCTCAGGGCCCCTGCTTCAAAGCGGGGGGGTGGTATCTATGGGGCCAAAACAAAGCCTGAATCACGGGAACCACTGGAGAACTCGCCCAGGTTGTACAGTGGCTGCTGTGACCGGCAAGGGCTTGGCTCCCTCCACCTCTCGACGACTGGGCGCAGGAGGACCACTGAGGTCCACAGGGGAGCCCCTGCGTGTGGGGTCCAAGCCTAAAGGGATGGGAAGCACAAGGAGCCAAGAGGAAGCCAGAGCTTGGGATGTAGCCGCCTGGGCTCTGACGGGCCATCACCACCTCCCCAGCCTCACAGCACTGCTGGCATGTGTTCCAGGAAGGTGAAGCTGCACACGGCCAGGTGTGTGTGAGAGAGAGATCTCTGTAGGATGTCTCCCGTCTCCTGCTGTGGGACAGCAGAGGGACATTTCCCGGATAGGCTAGGGCCACAAGATAGCCTCTCTACGCCAAGTCCTCTCACGTGGAGCAAGCTCTCATTCATTCATTCAACAAACATCCAAGCAGCACCTGCCCAGGCCGAAGATCTAGCGCTGCGGGTGCCCAGGTGCGGCCTGACAGGTGCCCAAACTGACCAGCCACAGGCTCCCGCAACGCTGTGGGCGGAGCCCTGGCATCCCTCCCCTGCGCCCTATACCCAGCCTAGTTCTGTTAGGGATTCCAGTCAAGGTAGGCGAGGTCTCCAAATGCGTTTCCACTGGCAGGCCCTTCCCCACCCCCAGTCCGGGCCTGGCACCACCGCAGCCCTCCCACGGGGGCCACCCAGGCCTCTCGCCCGGCCCTTCCCAAAGACGCTTCCGGAGGGACCGACTGGGAGCGGTCAGAGCCAAGGCCAAGGCGGCGGCCCCCTCGGGGGCACGTGGTGCCCGGTGCGCCCCGCGCCCCCAGCGCCGCGCTGCGCCCTGCAGCGGCCAGGGCCGGGGCGGGGTCCGGCTGGGCGGGCTGGGCGGGCGCCCCGCCCCCGGGAGCTGCTCTTTTTTTTTTCTTCACTTTAAAGCCGCGGTTGCTTTCTCTTCTCGGCACTGCAGCGGCGCTCGGGCTGCCCGCGGGCTCGCAGCTGGCGGCGGGAGCAGCAGCCGAGGCTCCTGCGCTGGCGCCGGGGCCGCGCGGAGGAGGCGGCTTGGCTCCCGCGGCGGGCGCGGCCCGGGCGCCCCAGCTCCTCGGCCCGGGAGAGCGAGCGGCGGCGGCGGCCTCCCCGGGCGCGGGACCCGGAGGACGGTGGGTGGAGGAGCGCGCGCGGGTGGGTGGGCGCCGGGCATGGCGGCGATGCGGAGGGGACCCCGGCCCGCACCCCGTCCCGCGGAGGCCCCGGGAGCCCTGGGCTCGCCGCGGGTCCCCGGAGAGAGGGGCCGGGCGCCGCCCAGAGCCGCTGCAGGCGCCATCGGGTCGCGGCCGTCCGGGTCCCCACCTGCGGGGGCGAGGCTGGGGCAAGGGGTCGCGACGGCGGCGCGGGCAGGCGGCCGGGCCGGGACGCGGGGTCTGCGCCCCGGCGGCTGCAGACTCGCGGGGTGCTGGTGGCGGCGGCGGAGATTCCCGGGGGCTCCCCGCGGCCTCCCGTGGTCGTGACCCGCCCTCTCCCGCACCCGGGCAGCTGCGACCCCGCTCGGCCAAGTTAGTTTCGCTTTTCCCGCCAGTTCCGGCCCGAGTTGGCAGCGCGGCCAGGGTGCCCCCCTCAGGGCGCCTCCCCTGGGCAGCCCTCCGGGTGGCGCCTTCCTCCTGCGGCCGCAGAGGGCGAGCCCGAGGTTCTGTCAGGAAATCGGTTGAAAACAGAAAAACAAGCGTAGCCGGGCCCTGGGCTCGGTCTGTGGAGGCTCGGATGGGTCATCGGCGCCGGGGCTTGGTCACTGTCCTGCTCAAGTTCAGGGATGGGTGATGGGCGCGGCTCGGATGAAGTGGACCGAGCAGCCACAGACTGCTGGGCTGGGAAATGTGCATGCGACAGAGTGTCTTAGTGGGAGTGTATGTGTGAGTCTGTGTCTGGTAAGTGTGTGTGCATGTTTAAGGGTGTGTATGTGTGTGAGGGTTTGTGTATCTGTGTGGGTTTTTTGTTTTGTGTGTGTGTGTGAATGTGGGACGGTATGTGTGTGTGTCTGTCTTGGTGCCAGCGTGTGCTTTGAGAGCTGCCCAGCCTGCCTTTGCTGCATGGTCCTGGTGCCCTCACGGAGGGCGCGGGCACTCCCCCCCTCCCCTCTCTTTTTCTGTGAGTTGGCAGGAGTTGCTTCCTGAATGAGTAACATTTAATGAAACACTCCGGGGTAGCATCAGACGCTGGTCATGAGCTGAGTTTTAACAGGTGTTCCTGGTCAGAGCGCCATGCGGGTGACTAAGGTTTGGTGGCCTTGCAAGAATTTTCTCTGAGGCAGGATGGTTGGGGGCGGGGGGGAGCCCACAGCCTCAGCCCTGCTGGGCAGGGGTGAGGAGGGTGAGCAAGGAAGCAGGTGGAAGGTGCCAGACGAAGCGTTTTCAGCACAGGCTCATCTCCCTGTTGGTCAGCTGGCACAGCCCTGCCCTTCTGGAGGCCCAGAGAGGGTGGGTCATTTCACCGAACTGCACAGCCTGGGCTGCAAACCAAGACTCCCTGGCTGTTGCTGTTGGTCGCCGTCCTCGGCACTGAGGTCATGGCCGGGCAGCTGCAAAAGGGTGGGCCACATTCGGCCATTTGAGGCTCTCTTCCCCGCTCTTCTCCTCTCTCCAACACCGTTTCCATGTGCAGGGAGCACGCGTCCTTGTAGAGTGTGCGTCTGTTGTCTTTGTAGACACCCAATCTCACGACTTGACAAGTCTTGCTTTTCCGTGCCCGGCTAAGCCACCAGCCTAGGAGCCCAGTGGCCAGGTGCAGTGGGCGGCCTGGGCTGGGCCTCAGGGTGGGGGCCTGGGCAGCCCCAGGGGGGTTCAGAGCTTGTGGGCAGGAGTGGTCTTGCCCGGGGCCCTGGGTGATGTCACTTTGGAGCTGGGCGAGGCCGCATAGCTTGGGTTGCTTGGGCCAGGCTGGACCCGCCCTGCAGTGGGTTCCCAGGGCTCTTGCGAAAAACTCACCCCCTTGGAATCAGCACAGATGTTTAATTTTCTGGCAGAGCTGGGGAGCCCTCCCTGAGCCTCTGCCAGGAGCTGCGCCAGTTCCCTCCTGCGCCCTCAGCCTCCCTGCCAGGTGGGTGAGAACTGGCCTGCAGCTGCGTTTTCAGAGTTGGCAGAAACTCCACCCCTTTGGGTCTTCCTGAGTGGGTACAGGCATCTCGCAGCCGCGGTCGAGGCTGCCGGGAAGCCTTGCGTGTGTGCGCTGGTTTTGTTGTTGTTGTTGTTTTATCAGGTCAAAGTGAGGAGCAGGTATGGCTCAGTCTGCCTAGGAGTACGTCCTCTTGGTCCCCCACAAGCCACAGGTGCAGGCTGAGCGGGAGTTTGATGCAAGACTCGCACCCACCCTGGGGCGCAGTTCTGGAAGACAGGCCCGTGCTGCTGTGTGCTCTGTGCACTTGGCCTGCCAGGAGCCCTACTCAGAAACAGAGTTATAGGGCATGAGCGGGAGCTCCCATGGCGGCTGGTTTACTCCCCAAATGACTGCAGACTGCTGGCGCTGAGCTGGGCTGGAGCCAGGAGCCCGCAACTCCATGCACGTTTCCTGCATGGGTGCAGGGCCATCTTGGGCCAGGGAGCTGGATTGGACATAGAACGGGCTGGGCTTGAACCAGCGCCCATATGGGAGGCTGGCATCGCAGGTGGAGGCTTGACCCTGTGTGTCAGAGTGTCGGCCCGAGAACGGTTCTGTGGCACAGATTCCAGCTTGAGTCCTGGACCTGTGCTTCCCGAGATCCAGGTGACAGACTTCCCCTCAAGCGTGTTCTCCAGAGGCTCCGGGCAAGTAGGGGACATGGCCAAGGTCTCCCTGTTCTGGAATGGTGGACCCCAAAGGATAATAATAATACAAACTCTGGCACCCCTGTCCTGAGCTGGTACTGTTGATGCCATCTCCACCACCCGTTTTTTGGTTATGGCATATTGCCAGTGTAACCGAAGATGAGCCCTGGACCTTCACCCGTTAGCTTCGGATGTCACACGTGTGTCTGTTCTTCACCCAACATTAAAAATGAATGAGTCTGCAAATCATGAGACCAACCACATCCAATATGGGCTGAGCTCCGTGGCCTTGTTCTGGGGACGTGCCTGGATTTGCTGGAGGTGTAGGCAGGTGCAGCAAGGGCCTGGGGATGCACCGCGAGGCCAGTGGCCAGAGATACGGGCAGGGTTTCTCAGCCACGCTCAACCACATCCATGCCCAGCTAGGCAAGTGGTGGGTAAGAGAGTCTGGGAACCTCTCCCCTGTGCCCCGCCCCAAGGTGCCTCTTGGAAAATGAGGGAGTTTGTGGGTGACTTGGAGGTAGGGAGGTGAACCCCATCTTGAGAGGGGACTGCTGAGTGAGTTCTCGGTGATGGAGCTGGAAGGCACCCTGGCTGTGACCACACCTTTCTGTTCATTTCCTGGGCACCTTGACTACGACAGGTGCACATCTGTGGCCTCTGTCTGCCCTCTGGCCGGGCCTCTGCGGAGGCCCAAGGTCTATTCGTGAGGCACCAAGTGTGACCACGAGGAGGGGCACTGCACTCCAGACAAAGCACAAAGCTGGGATGTGCACAGGGATGGATCTGAGGGCGTGGACACTGGGGGGATGAGCAGGAAGCTGGGTCAGGCTGCGTCCATCGAACTGGGCATGCCAGGCAGAGGCTTTACATTTCAGAGTACCCTGGGGCGCTGGCAGGTGAGACTTGCATTGACTGAAAGGTGGCTCACGTTGGCACGTTGGAGAGGCCCATCTCCCTGAGGTTTTGGTGTGGGTATGTCAGGGACCCACCCGTGGGGCTGAGAGTGGGGTTAGCACATGTCCTCTCAGTTCCCTGAGGGATCCACTTGGATCGGGAGCCTCATAGAGTTCTGCAGTGGACCCACAGGCACTGCACTGCAAACACGCTCCGGGTGGCTGTCTTTGTTGTGGTGAAGGGCAAAGGGCTGGGCTCGGTCAAAAAGCCGTTGGACTCGTGTGGTAGACCCACGTGTCAGCCGGTCATTAATCGTGGAATCGACAGGCAACCAGCTGGATTGTAACACCTTGACCCAAGCCGAAAAAGGAACGAAAGTCTACCTTGGAAAACCAGGACCCCTCCATTGGGTCCTAGACTCGGGCCAATTTATAGGTTCAGAATCCCTGAAGGAAGAGGGGACTGCATGCCCATGTGTTGGAATCCTGATGCGCTGTAGAAACTGGTACCCAACCTTTCCCCTGCCTTCCCTCAAGGGACCTACAACCTTGTAACCCAGGAGATCCCTGTGGCCATTTCCTGTTTTCCAGGATATTCAGGGCTCCATGGTCCCATCAGCGGCCTGGTTCAGCCCTCTTGGCTGGCCTGGACGGAAGACAGGTGGGGTCTGGAGGGTGACAATGGGTCCCTAGGGGAGATTGGACGGCTGTTCCTCAACGATGCTGCGCAAAGAGCAAATCCCTTTAGACAACCCTTGGTCTACTAGGCCCAGGGCTATTAGCCCTAACTTGGCAGCACAGGACGTGGCCCAGACCTAGAGGAATGAAGATTGGGGTCAGCGGAGTGGCTGTTGCATACAAAAGAAGACAAAGCAGGTGCGAGAGGTGGTTCTGAATGGCAGCCTGCCTGGGAGCAGCAGGTGGCCAGGGGTGCTAACATCTCCTCCTAGTGTTGATAAGGGTGAAGTCTGCGAGCACCTTCCATTTGTTTCTTGTTCCTCATCCTCAAGCATGCGCTGCAGAGAGTGTGTGTCAGGAGGTGAGCACTGTTCATTGCCACGACCGGTGTAATGTCAGGGGAGGTGTGGGCCTGCCTGTTGGCCGAAGGGAAGCTTGACAGGTTGGCGTTGGATTTGAACCACAGAGCTGCACCAGGCGTATCTGTTACCAAGTTGCCAGGCTAGACTGTGAGCATGGGCGAACCGGGCAGGGACGCAAAGGCAGAAGATGTTGCTGTGATAGAATACCCAAGACCAGTCACTTCCTGAGATCTGGGGTGTTGGGGGGCTCGGGGTCCTGGAGCTGGGTGATCTGGCGCTTCTAGTGGGGGCTTCTCACTGCTCCCACATGGCGGGAAGGCCGTCACAGGGCAAGTCAGACAGGGTCCACTGCCTCTTTTAGTTTAGGGGTTTTGTGCTTTTTGTTTAAACAAATTGTGGTGCAGTACGAATGGTGTCAAACTTACCCCCT